CAAGAGAGACATGTTGGGGAGGCCAAACGGCAATTTAGCTGAGACGTCCCACCAAAATCGGCGCGAACGGGCTCGTGAGATCAGCCAGGGTGGCTCCCCCTTGGGGCTCCCAAATGATGCCCCTGGCAGCGTTTTGCGACCATGAGGCTCTCAAGAGAGACATGTTGGGGAGGCCAAACGGCAATTTTAGCTGAGACGTCCCACCAAAATCGGCGCGAACGGGCTCGTGAGATCAGCCAGGGTGGCTCCCCCTTGGGGCTCCCAAATGATGCCCCTGGCAGCGTTTTGTGATCATGAGAGAGTGTGAGTGTGAGTGAATGTGACTGTGAGTGAGTCTGAGTGAGAGTGAGTCTCATCTTATCTTATCGAGTCCTATCTTATCTTACCTTTATACCCTCTATCTTATCTTATCTTGAAATCTCTTATCTTGTCTTAGCTTATCTTATATCAACTCATCTTATCGCATCATATCTTGTCTTATCTTATTACTCCATAGGCTGTCTTATCTTATCTATTATCCCGACCTTGTCATATATCTTATCTTACCTTATCATATCTTGTGCTATCTTATCTTATATTGTAGTATCTTATCTTGTCTTGTCTTATCTGGTGATTATCATTGGGAGGAGGGAGGCGCGAGCGGGAGGAAGAAGGAGGAGGAGGAGGAGTGGGAGGCGTCAGAGTAATACTTATTCACTGCGTGGGGATCCCCATAAGTGCATCTCCTTGCTGGCGCCCCCTTTGAGTGTGGACTCGGTGTAGGGCCGAATCTGAATTTAAGTGTGACTGAGCTGCCTCTCTCTCTCTCTCTCTCTCTCTCCTCTCTCTCTGTCTCTCTCTCTCTCTCTGCCCTCTCTCTGTCTCTGCCTCTCTTTCCCTGCCTCTCTCTCTCTCTCTGCCTCTCTCTCTGCCTCTCTCTCTCTGCCTCTCTCTCTCTCTCTCTTTCTCTCTGCCTCTCTCTCTGTGCCTCTCTCTCTCTGCCTCTATCTCTGCCTCTCTCTCTCTCTCTCTCTCTCTCTCTCTCCTCTCTCTCTTCTCTCTTCTCTTCTCTCTCTCTCTCTCTCTTCTCTCTTCTCTCTTTCTCTCGCCTGTCTCCTCTCTCAACTCCCCCTCTCTCTCTCTCTCCGCTCTCTCTCTCTCTCTCTCTCCTCTCCCTCTCTCTCGCTTCCTCTCTCTCTCTCTCTCTATTGCTCTCTCTCTCTCTCTCGTCACGGGGTCGTGAGATCAGCCAGGGTGGCTCCCCTTGGGGCTCCCAAGTGATGCCCCTGGCAGCGTTTTGCGACCATGAGGCTCTCAAGAGATACATGTTGGGGAGGCCAAACGGCAATTCTAGCTGAGGCGTCCCACCAAAATCGGCGCGAACGGGCTCGTGAGATCAGCCAGGGTGGCTCCCCCTTGGGGCTCCCAAATGATGCCCCTGGCAGCGTTTTGCGACCATGAGGCTCTCAAGAGATACATGTTGGGGAGGCCAAACGGCAATTCTAGCTGAGGCGTCCCACCAAAATCGGCGCGAACGGGCTCGTGAGATCAGCCAGGGTGGCTCCCCCTTGGGGCTCCCAAATGATGCCCCTGGCAGCGTTTTGTGACCATGAGGCTCTCAAGAGATACATGTGCATTCCGCTGGAAAGCGGGTCGTGAGATCAGCCAGGGTGCTCCCTGGGAGCTCCAAAATGAGCGCGTTTTGCGACCATGAGGCTCTCAAGAGATACATGTTGGGGACGCCAAACGGCAATTCTAGCTGAGGCGTCCCACCAAAATCGGCGCGAACGGGCTCGTGAGATCAGCCAGGGTGGCTCCCCCTTGGGGCTCCCAAATGATGCCCCTGGCAGCGTTTTGTGACCATGAGGCTCTCAAGAGATACATGTTGGGGGCGCCAAACGGCAATTCTAGCTGAGACGTCCCACCAAAATCGGCGCGAACGGGCTCGTGAGATCAGCCAGGGTGGCTCCCCCTTGGGGCTCCCAAATGATGCCCCTGGCAGCGTTTTGTGATCATGAGAGAGTGTGAGTGTGAGCTTAACTTATCTTATCTTATCTTGAAATCTCTTCTTATCATATATTGTGCTATCTTATCTTATCTTGTAGTATATTATCTTGTCTTGTCTTATCTGGTGATTATCATTGGGAGGAGGGAGGCGCGAGCGGGAGGAAGAAGGAGGAGGAGGAGTGGGAGGCGTCAGAGTAATAACAAGAACCCCAATCCTTAGGATATGGGGAACAAGAACCCCAATCCTTAGGATATGGGGAAAAACGAACCCGAGTTAACCCTGAACCCGAGTTACGCCTGATGATTCGGGGCTCTCACTCAATGCGGCGCAAGGCGCAAGGCTGCATGGGCCTCCCCCCCAAGACCGGCTCTTCATCCTGAGCCGCTTTCTGACAGTCCCGGGGCCCGGGGAGGGCCCCGGGAAGCCCAAACCAGAAACCACAAACATAGAGACCCGTGCCTCTCAGGACCCTGTTTAAAACAGGGCTAGGATCGGGATAAATCGCTCCAGAGCGTCCCAGAGCGCTCTCAGAGCGTTCCGGAACGCTCTGAGAGCGGCCGCGGCGCCCAGTACATCCTGCAAACCCGCCGATTCTCAGGGATTTCGACTTATCCCGATCCGAGTTTGTCCCGATCTTCGCGTCGCTTTACCCACCCCCGGGGTCCTCCTGGGCCTTCCGCTCGGCCTCCTCGCCGCGGCGGCGCCGCTCCTCCTGCCCGCGCGCGGCGCTCGCGCGGGCGGGGGGCGGCGCCATAGCCGAGCCCGCCCCAGAGCGCACCCAGAAGCGAGCCCCGTGCCTCTCGGGACCCTGCTCCCTCCATGCGGCGCAAGGCTGCACGGGGCGAGCGCCAGTAGGGAGCCCACAAAGGACGTACGCGCCCAGCTATGTACATGAACACGGCCCCTCGATCCGTGAGACCGGCCGCGTTATACGAACATTTGCGCAATGTGAACTCTCGAAACCAGCGTGGATTCATGTACGTGTACGTCCTTTTTCCGCTCCTGAGCCAGGCTCGACCCTCGGCAAGGGGCGCCCCCGGCGCGCTTGGCTCGCCCACCGCTGCCCGTGCGCGGCGGCCGCCGCCGGCCGCCGCACGGCCGGGCCCGGCACGCCGGGGCCGCCGGCCCCCCGGGCGCCCCTCGCGCGCCCGCAGCGGAGCAGCCATCCGCTTCGGGGCCCCGCGGGGCGCCCGAAGCAGGAGGGCTTCCTCCTCCGCCTCCGCCTCCTCATCCTCCTCCTCCTCCTCCTCCTCTCCTCCTCTCTTCTTCTCCTCCTCCGCCCCCTCCTCCTCCTTCTCATCCTCCTCCTTCTCTCCTCTCCTCCCAGTGGTGCCCGCCTCGACCCGTCCTGCAGGAGGGTTTTGGACGAAAATACAACCAAATAGTCAAACATAGCCCCAACATCTCAGAAAATAGTGAAAGAATCCCCCCCCCCCGCGCCCCTCGGGCGCCGCGCAACGGAGCAGCCCTCCCCCGGGGCCTGGCGGGGTGCCCCGAAGCAGGAGGGCCTCCCAGTGGTGCCTGCTTCGGCCCCGTGGCCTGCCAGACAGCGTGCGGATCTTGGACGACAAACAAGACAACTAGTCAACACACACCCCCAACGTATCAAAACATAGCGACACCATCGCCCCCAGAGCATTTTTGTCGACTATTTTTGCATTTGCCCCCGGTAGTCGGGGATGGACAGACCCCCCTTTAGTAAAACGTGGTTTAGTGAAAACGACCTGAGGCCTAAACCTGGAGGGCGCAAACCTGGAAAATAACGGCCACGGCGCCCTCTCGAGAACCGAAAACGGACAATTCACTAATCGACGTGTCACTGTTGGGGGTTCTGTCCAGCCTCGAGGTAGAGGGACGGGCCCGGCCTCGAGATAGCGGCCTGCTCGTGGACCTGCCAGCTTCCTCTAGAGGTCCCGCGGCGCGATGTCTTGCCCCGGCGTGGCTCCCGCAGACCGCTCGGCCCCTGCCCGGGTGCGTGCGCACCCTGGCCCTCGAGGCGCGTGCGCGGACGAGCGGGAGCCAAGGGGCGTGGACGTGTGGAAAGAGAGAAGGGCAGTGCAAGCTGGGATCTCATGGCCCCAGCCATGATCCCCCCCCCAGTCCTCCCTGAGCGAGCAACGACATATGTACATGTACGCCCTCGAGGTCTTGAGTGCAAGAACGTCCTCGTTCAAACGCCCTCCAGGGGAAGCTAACCGCGTACGTGTACATATGTTGCTGGCCTCTGACTCCCCCCTTGGGGCGCCCCTGGCCCTGGGGCCAACTCTTCGCCCAGAGGCGAACTTTGGCGGCCCTGGAGCCCGACGCTGGCCTCTCCATCATGGCAGGCCGCGCCGTCCAGCTGTGAGCGTGAAAGACACGGGGCCCTGTGGGAAACAAGTCCTGGACCCCGGGGCCTCCCCCCCTCCAGGACCGACCCTGCATCCTGAATCGTCTTCCGGCGGTCCCGGGGCATCCAGCTGGCCACCGCTCGGACGCCCATTCCCTGTTTTTTTTTTCGGTTGCGTGCGTGGTTTTTTCACAAAAAGGATCAAGGATGCTCCTCGATGGTCCTCGCCGAAGGAAAAATGCACACGTCCGAGCGATGCCAAGCCAGACCAAAAACAAACATCAAGACCCGTGTCCTTCAAGATCCGTGTCCCTCCTGGCGAGCATTGCGCAAAAACTGGCGAAAACCCCGGGCCTCTGGGTATAGGCCGGGGGCGAGCCGAGTCTCTCCCGACCGCATGGGAGGCAGGGGGCCCCACTGGAGTGAGGGAGGAGGACGACGGAGGAGGAGAAACGCGGAGGGAAGAAGAGGAAGGAAAGAGGGAGGGAGGGGGAGGGGGAGGATAGAGGAGGAGGGAGGAGGAGTGAGAGGAGGAGAAGGGAGGGGAAGGAGGATGGCAGGAGGAGGGATGGAGGGAAGGAGGGGAAGAGAGGAGGAGGGGGAGGTTGAGGAGAGGAGGAGGCGGGAGGAGAGGAGGGAGGGCGGCAGGCAGGAAGGAGGGCGAGCGGCCCTCCGCACCGGGGCCTCCTCGGCCCTCCGCTGGGCCTCCTCGCGGCGGCGCTGGCGCTCCTGTCATCGCGCGGGGGCCCCCACCCCTCCGCCAGAGGTTGGCAGCGCGCCGCGCGGGGGGGGAGGAGAAGGAGGGCCTTCCCCTCCAGCGCGCCGCCGATAAAGGAGGAGGAGGAGGAGGAGGGAGTGAGGAGGAGGAGGGAGGGGAGGAGAGGAAGAGGAGGAGGAGGAGGAGGAGGAGGAGGGGCGGAGGGAGGAGGAGGAGGAGGAGTGAAGGAGGAGGAGGAGGGGAGAAGGAGGGGAGGAGGGGGGAGGAGGAGGAGGAGGGAGGAGGAGGAGGAGGAGGAGGAGGAGGAGGAGGAGGAGGAGAAGGAGGAGGAGGAGGAGGAGGAGGAGGAGGGGGAGGAGGAGGGGGAGGAGGAGGAGGGGAGAGGAGGAAGAGGAGGAGGAGGAGGAGGAGGAGGCGTGGGGCCATGCCTGGGCCCCAGAAAGAAAAGAACGCTCGCAACGCTTCAGCGGCAACGACTTTCCGTTTCAGTTGAGCCACGTGCGTTCGTGGTGAGCACGTGCAGCAGACGTCGATCTCTCAACAACACCCCTGTATTGGATGACTGCTGCTTCTGCCGCCGGGAGGGGCAACAAATCGTGCCCCCCGCCCTCACTGGAACGAAGGATTGCAAAAAAAACCCTCGGAGTACCATGTGGGACTTGCTCGGAGTACCATGTGGGACTTGCTCTAAAACAAATCCATCTCACAGACGGATCTGCCCTTTCGCCGACCTTGGGGGTACATCGAAACGCCGAGAGGGAGAGGGAGAGGGAGAGGGAGAGAGACAGGGGGAGATTGAGAGAGAGAGAGAGAGAGAGATCATGACACTACTGGATTGGAATTTGTCTGAAATTCATTGGCGTTCGCCAACATACAGTCACCTTCACTAAGCGCAATCTATGGGGTCGATGTATCAAAACCACTATGAGATGTGTAAACACACTCTCACTCATTTTAGTGGACAGTCGACACAAACGGCGACAACGATGTATACAATATCACCACTGTGGCGCTGTTGTGTAACTTCATTCTGCCTTTATGTAACCCACTCGCAGACACGATAATCACTCAAGTGAATTGGTCCGACATTTGGCGCGAAGCTATGAAACAAAATGCCAGCGGTTGCGCCTAAACAGAACCCATATACTCAATAACATCTCGAGAAAGAAACATCCAAACATTTTGCGGTTTTCATCTTTCGATTCCTTACTAAAGACCTTTTCAACCATACCAAATTTACCAGGCCGGCTTACCGCCTCCAACTTTTCCTACTTCTCACCTTTGCAAAATTTCTGAGAGTTCCGAGTACCGTTCTCACGCATGTGAGCGTCCAACGTGTCTGCGAGCACCCAAGCACGAACAATGTTTCTGTGGGCGCCAGAGTCGCCCTGAAACGCCGAACTGTGCCTGCGAGCGCGAGCTCCAATGCGCTTGCGGACACCACGCTATGATCGGTGTTGCGAACCAGTGGCTCGCGCAAGCACTGCGACCGCATCCTGCTGAGAGGCTTTGGTGACGCGCGCGCTGCGGCAGTGCGCTAAGGGCGCTCTGCACGGGGGGCCAGTACCCAGGGGCGTTATGTGGGGGTTGCGGGGGGCGTGAGGCTATATCGTGGGGGGGATGGTCCAGCCTGTGGAAATGCTCTCGAGGACTGATCCCCCAAAGACCCCCCTGCGACTGCCTGCACTGGAGCGGTCGGAGGTTCGACGCTGTAACGTGTTTACAGCGCGGCTCGTCAGACGTCTTGACCCCGTCCCCCGGGACGAATGTTTCCTCCCGCGCCGTTGTCTCCCGGTCCCAGGGCGGGGCGACGGCCTTCTGAGGCCGAACACAGCCGAACGCGTGCCGCCTTATGTTTTGTCGCATCACGACGCGTGGGCGTCTGGGATGGGGCCCCGCCCCGGGGGGGAGGAGGAACGAGGGACGAGGAAGGAAGGAAGGAAGGAACTGGATGCTTGGAAGCGAGCGCCAACACCAACACAGGGGGCTGCCTCCACTTGGGGGAGATGATCCTGGATTTCGGTACTGCAGGTCCGTGCCGTGTCGACCCTGGCGTTGGTTCCTGACACCGCGCTGGATCGTTCAACCTTGAACGATCGGCCGTCTCCGCAGCGTCCGATCGTTCAACATCGACTGATTCTGGGCCGCCGTCGGCGTTCAACCTTGAACGCCCGCGCTGGGGTCGCCGCTGGTCGACACGACGCAAACCTACCGTACTGGTCGTGATTTGTTCGCGGCCACCTGGAAGCACGAGCACCGCCACCGTCGCCGAGATCGGCATCCTCCTCCCTCGGCGGCGGCACACCGCCGATGTTGGTGCCCACCTCTGGGCTTCCGAAGGAGGGGTGGAAGAATGGGGGAGGAAGGGGGGAGAGGAGAGGAGGAGCGAAGCCCAACCGCCGCCCCTCCCCCCGTGACTGCACTGGAGGCGGGGGCCCCTGCGCCGGGGCCTCCGGGGGGCAAGGC